GGGCACACCAAAACCAGAGAATTTGTTTGGCGCCCCAGCTGACAGCTAATGAAACACATGAACAGAATTGACGACGCGACACTGGCTTCGCAGGAATCAGACAGAAGCCGATTGAGTTATTGTCCCGATTTCCCGTCCAGATTGAACTACACGTTATGTCAGATACTGTAGTATAATTGTTTAAGCAGCTGAACGGGATTTCCAGGACTTGTTACTGTTTGATTCTCATTCTTGAGCTGCTATTGTTACTGAAATCGTGGAAAGGTAAATCCCACCCTACCCCGTTTAATCTTCTTTGAGTTCACTGGCTGTAAACTCAAGCGGGAAGTTCCGGTTGTTTGTCCACCTCTGGACAAGGTTCTTGTTCCAGAACCTGAATGTTGCGTGCACATCCGTTTAACAGGTCTGACTTAACTGTATGCAGTTTATTGGTTACTTGCCTTTCAGACAGATGCACTCCGACTTCGAAGGAGGCCCCCATGCTTGTTTTGTTAAGAGACAGTGGGTCTATTCTTGTTTTCCCACAATTGGGCCCTGAACCCACACGGAAAACCTTGTTCAGACAGAAATTTTTGGGTGGCCCATCTGGACTTTTAACCGGACAGTGTGGTCACGTACATTGCAGTTATTGACTGGGTAGTTGTCAGTGTACATGGCAATTATAACTCGGCAGTCTAGTCAGTGTAGCCAGCAGTTTCAACAGGATAGTGTAGTAAGTGTACATGCCAATAATAACTTGGCAGTGGCTGTACGAGATAATCCTGCCGACGAGAAGGCGAAGAATGGAAACCCAGAACATATGTCATTCGTTAGCAACCAAGAGGTTTCGAAAGAGGCGGAAGCCCTAAGACAACTTATCACAGACATCAGAATGAGACAGTCATCATTTTTCGGCCATGTTATGAGAAGAGGGAAAATAGAACATGTTGTGACCACTGGAAAGATATGTGGAAGGAGAGATAGAGGAAGACAACGAGATAAGATTCTTGACAGTCTTGTTGCATGGCATGGAGGTGGGACGGCACACGAACTGATACATGCTGCAGGAGATCATGGATTATGGAGAGGCATGATCGCCCACGCCAGTCGGCAAGGCACCTGATGATGATGATGAGTTGTCAGTGCACATGGCAAATATAACTTGACAGTCTAGTCTAGTCAGTGTTTACCTAGCAGTTTCAACAGGATAGTGTAGTAAGTGTACATCCCAATTATAACTTGGCAGTGGCTGCACGAGATAATCCTGACTACGGAAAGGCGAAGAATGGAAACCCAGAACATATATCATTCGTGTCAGTTTTCTGTTTTCTTCCCGCCCGTTGTTACTGTTAAGCCTCATTGAAAGCTCTGTTTGCCGGGTATTCCCACAGAGTTCGGCGCACTGACATCGTGAAAACGTTATCATCCTCGGGGACCGCGCACGACTGCACTTCTGTTTCCGCCTTTTGTTTACACAGAGCGAGGGAACTCAGCAATACAGGAAGCTGTGGAACTTTCGGATGTACGGGAGTGTTGTAACAATATTTGCCCGCGTAGTGAGTTCCCTGCGTAAATGGAGACGTTCGCCTTCACACCTATGTTGCTTCTGTTTCTCATACATGGCTTGGCTTGAGCACTTGCAGGCTGCAGTGATCTTTACAGCTGTTTGTTGTGTGCTATATTTTTCTACGGGGTTTTATTTTCTTACCATTTCTGGGGTTACTAAGCAGACTGCTTAAAGATTTGCTTCGGTCAGTCTGGAGGGTCAGACAAATTATTTCTCTGACTTGTACCCATGCTCCACGGCTCTGATTTTTTCCCCCTCCAAAACAAAAGGCGTAGACTGTGGTGCGAATGTTTGTAAATCAGCTATGCGGTGATTGTGGATATGGGTTAAGGAATGGACAAACTTAACATACAAGCAAAATCAGCAAAGAGAATATCATGAACATGAATGCTTTTATTGCTGACACTGTTTTAATTAGACGCCTTAACTGGGAAATTTGGGTATTAACGAAACTAGAAATATGTTGTCTCAGTGGAATCATTTATTTTACGCACCCACTTTCCTAATCTAAAGCCGCGTTAGCGATGTCGATAAGAGGTTCGCTTTCAAATCCAGCAGCGACTTTCTGCAGCCCACGGTCGGTGTTCAAAACCGGGCGGCTCCCGGGGTTCACCCAGCCTCTAGGAATTGGTTACCAGAGTGATACTCTGGGGGTGAATGGAGGAACGTCGCTGTAGCTACAGAGTTACGTGCGAATGGCGACACTTGCGGACAATTCTTATCAGCTGTCCGTACTGGTGGCAGAGCACTTATGGTTTATAACCGTGTGCAATGACGTTGGTTCACATCTCCCGACTTTACCTTTACCTAATCTGTTTGTTTTAGTATCCAGAAGCCATGAGTTCTTAACCCTTAGGCTCGGTATTATGTATATCGCAACCTTTCGGTCTTGATTCCATTTTAAATACCGTAAATCTGGGAAAAATGTGGCTTTTCTGCCCACCCCCGGGAGTGAACCCAGACCACAAGGAGTTTGTCACCCTTTCACCGCGCAATCCGGTTTAGCCAACTACGCTAGAGTGACGGGCCTTTACCTAATATAAACGTCGTCAGCATTGCTATAGATTTCCTATCGCTATCGACAGAACGCTGAACTATTAAGGTGTCGTAATGATAAAAACAATGAAAACTCAATATATACATATTTTTATTACTGCTAGTTGTATTTTGCCACCCTCAGCTTTGCCCTTTCCATTTGTCCTGAAATACGGCCCATCTAAACACACCGCTAACCTTAACTCTAGGGAGATCATATTAGCAGGATAGGGGATTCATGGTGAATATTCTATGAATGCTACAATAGTGCTACTGTTCACATTATACTTATTACACTATGAACGAACGTTATTCTGCTTTGGCGAAATCAGGCGAAGTTGCGGACATTCACAACAGGCGTTGGTCAGCAGCACGACCGGCTCTGGCACGGTCGTGTTGAAATAGATTCTAAAGAGATCAGCAGCATCTTCAACAGAGCTGTTTAACTAAGTTTACCAAGGGACTAGCATGTTGGAAGATGAGGATAGTCACGAGCCCAAGCCGCAGCATAGAAAGATCATTAATATAGTATAATTGGCAGGCGATCTGCGGGCCAGTTGCTATGTCTCTATGGACCAGATTTGACCTACAGGCCTTCAGTTAAGTAGCCCTGACCTAAAGCATTGCTCATTCAGTCAGTGTAGCCTGTCAATTGCAGAACCTTGCTCCCATAACAGCCTTCCGGAAAATTTCTCGATCACAAGCAAGATGTCCCGCATTCGATACACCCACCCAGCTGAAGATCATCCGCTACATTCTGCACCAATCTTCTCTTTGGTCTTGCTCTTCCTCTCTTCCCGGACATATACCCCTTCATTATTGTTCTCTCTAAACTTTCGAGACATTTCAATAGACCAAAATATTCAATTTTTCTGTGTTTTATCGTCTGTAGTAGCCAACCTTCTTCAAAACATTGCTACAGTCGGTAATATATTCATTCATTTATTGTCCTTCTGCGCCATTGTATGCCTGTAGGTCACAAAGGGCTCACAGTCTTTTCCCTGATTCTGCTCTGTCCTGTGCAGTCGGTTCAATATCATGGATGGAATCTAGTCCAGCAAATGTGGCCTCTCTCATCAACGTTCGTCTTAGGGTTTCACTTGGGCGTCCTTGCCTCCTTAATCACTTTATTTCCCGTTTTATTGCCGGTTTGGTCATTTTTTGCTGGTTTCTTCTAAGAATGTGCCCAGTATAGCGCCATCTTCTCCGTCTTAGAACTGTTGATACTTGTGGCTGTCCAGATATATCACTTATTATATTACTGGCGGCCTGCAGAGTCCTATCCAGCGGCCCGCGGATCGTTGCCAGGTGTATTCTATGAGCACTTCTATGCTCGGACCTTTGGTCCGTGACGATCCTCATTTTTCAACATTTGAGCCCCAGAGTAAGCTTAGTTGGATAACACTGTCTTACATGAAGGGGTGTTTGGTGTATGCATTTTGAAAAGATGCACTTCGATGCGAGACCCCCCCCCCCCCCCCCCCCCCCCCCCCCAACCCACCCCACCACCTCTCCCTTTCTGTTTTCTTTGCAAAGATTTCGATGCAAATATTTGAAGGAGTTGCAATGCAAAGATGTAATTCAGTGCAAAAGATACACTTCGGAAAGATGTGCTTCGAAACCTCACATAATCGATTTTGCGCATAAGGTGCAGTCCATCAGCGTGTAGCAGGTCCTTTGCAAAACGTCGCTGTCATCATAGTCTGTCTCCCCCCCCCCCCCCAAAAAAAAAAAAATATCGGTCTCTCGCCAGCACTCCCGCCTAGTGCACTTATTCAAGGAGTCACTTATATCCTGTGCCCATCTTCGTGTTGATCGGCCCATACCCCTTCTTCCTGGTATCGTGCCTTCTGATATTATTGTCTCCCAATCCGCCATGGCGCCTGATATGGCCACATATTTCAGCTTCTCTAAGGGGCAGTTAGGAATTACAGATGTCATCTTCTTCAGTATTATGAGCCCTTGAGGTTTATTGCTGCATTCATCTCTCTGGTTGGCCTTTTTTTTCCCCCAGTTAGTGACAATAAGTGTTTGCAGGTCTATCTGGACATTATCTGTTCTTGGTTTGCCTCGTGGTCTACGACCATTCATCTCCCTTGTGTATACAGCTTTTTACTTCTCTGTCACCCTACATTCTTTCAATATGCCCCAACCATTTCAGTCTAATAGCTCTCAAGGTGCAAGTGATCAATGGTGATTTAAACAGATTATGAATTTCATTGTTGATTCTCACTCTCCATACCACGCTGTTTGCATTTGTTTAATGGGTCCAAAGATTACTCGTAATTAAGATTTAGAAACCTGTATTATAGCAGATTATAGATACACATTTCGAAACTTTTGCAGCCGAGTTTACGCTTGTCTATTATAACTGTTTTACTTCCTTCTGCTAAGAATAAACATTGACTTGAATGTGGTTTTAAACTTTGAACTCATATTGTAGTAAAACAAAGGTATTCACTCCAGCATTTATGGATTCCAGATGAAAAAACACCGCGAAGAGCGAACAACACAGATTTCTTTGATACCCATCAATTCTTGTGTCGGGATCCAGTAAAATATATAGAAAAGCAATCATGCTGGGCACATAACACATGATGAAAATAGCCGCTATTAGAACAACCATTTTGACCGCTTTACTATCCCTGTTAGACATAGCTACTGAGCTTTTAGAACTATCAGAAGTAACCTTTCTGCGCCATTTTGATTTCTGTCGTAAGTTAACGACAAGAACTGCGGTGCAAATCACTATTAGACATAACGCTATTGATGGTATTACATTGTTGGTCACGAATGTAATGTTTTCTATGATTTTTCGCCCTTCTACATACAATATTCTAAGAATGGTTCTGTTTCGAAGTGGGTCAAAGACTTTTGCAGGTCGCATGGTGTAGAAGCATGGGAATACGCTGGCAAACATGATAATGTACATAAGATTAAGATACAAGACTGTTCGGTTGGGGGTAAAGACATTTTTAACTTTCAGGGGCAGAGTAACACAGAGGCACCTCTCTAGTGTGATATAAGCGGTTATCCACGCGCTGACTCTAGTGAAGATCACGTGACATAAACCATTAATATACATGATGTCATCAGCTTCAAACGGGAGGTCAAGGGCCACGAACGCCGGTATCACATTGAGATTTGCATACAGAAGTGTGATCTGGGAACCCAGGTCTGATGTGGCCAGACCTAAGAGACTTATGTTTACAGTGTCCTGTATACCCTGTTTAACAAAAGTGATTATGTTTAGAATGTTTGTTATAATTCCAAATATGCACACTCCCTGGCCCGGACCCCACGAGTTTATCAAAAGGAAGTAGTAGAGGTCTTCATCGGATACAACCACACGTTTTATGGCATTGTTCATATGCCTATTTGTTTCGTTCCTAGAAAGCCAAGGAGTACTTTTATCAATCATATTAGACATCAATCATGTTAGTCAGTTACTGCGTGGGCAGGAATTAGCTTAGATTGTTATACAGTGTTTCACAATATATAAACACACGTAACTATATCAACATTTATTACTATCACGTATGTATCCTTTGTTTCATACGACAGTTCTTCTCTTAGCTGCTTGTGAATGCCTTCTTTTAATCCTTCGTTAACGTACACATTCGAAAAATAGTACCAGTAGTAGACACTTAAATTGCCTGTTTGTCCTGCGTACATAATTTGTTTAAAGAGCATCTGGTAATCATATTCCTGGCACATCCACATGCCACGACTGATCGTTCTTATAATCCCGTGTCTCAGAATTACTTGAAAACATAGCGCTAATTTTCCTTCAACACTAAACAACCTCAGAAATCAATTTCTGATATCTCAATTATTTATTATGATTTCCTCAGGGGGTTTCAAACAGGTTTGATTTATCTTTCGACGTGTGATCAAACTCACATTACACATTTTAACCACATATAAGCATTTAAATTACAGTACTTCGGTGAATTTACGATTGCGGTAGGAATCTATTATCAGCAGCTAATCGGCTAATCTATGCTAAACAAGATAATAACCTTTAAATAAAAATACGCTAAATTCCACGCTATTACTTACCATAGTGACATTTTTGAACGGATGATTTTGTTTATATATTGAAAGTTTTAATTCCGTCACAAAGCTAGATCTCTATTTTGTTATGTATTAAACTCAGCCCCGAATTTCAACCGGTTCACTGTGTTGGGTTTGTCATTGTCGTTGTTGGAGTTCCTTTTTGTGTGCACAGAACTCGCGGGTGACCAGTCGAGTCACGAGGAATTATTTATATTAAAAAATTAAATAGCTGCCATATTAAAATCGAACATCTCGCATTAAATCCTGTTCTGTATTTTAGAAACATACCACCGGCTTTAGGGGAAGCTCGGAGCGCATTGGGGAGGATATAAGCCGTATCATGGAACGACGATCTAAAAACCTGTTATCACTGTTAAGACCAGGCCCTTAGCTTTGTTTGGGCTGTGTGGGTTCTGGGGCCCCAATGTGAGGAAGAGCTAGAATAAACCCAATGCCAATTCAAAAGCATGTCGTAAGAGTCGACTAATTAGGAGCTTTTTTGAAGTCATACATCTGCCCCGAGTTGCAACGAACCAACAGTCTGCATGCAAATGAGTCAGACGTGTAAAACGGATGTACATACAACACTGTTTCTGGAACAGGACTAGAGTTCAGAAGTTGACGAACAACCAGAAATTTCCCCCGGAGTTTACAGCCGGTGAACGTGAAGAAGAAGAAGGTTAAGCAGCTAGTCTAAGAAAAAAGCACTGCACTTGCATCTATCCCGACAGCCTCTGTCGTGTGCCTTGTTCCCAAACGTATTAGTGTTGCCTTTTCTATGGAGTAAACAATGCAGGCTGAAACAAAGATCATATTGCATGGTCAACACACAGTCTGTACAATTCTGCCAAGGCTTTGTACCGTGGAGAGCTGGAACGTCATCCCTGACCTTACTTGGCAACTTGATCTTACTCGGCTACAAAAGCTTCGCTCAATGTAACTCATGTCGCCAGGAAGATAGGAAAGGTGACAAGTAAATTATAAATACCATAATTTTAAAAATAATAAAAATGCATGTCACCTGTTAAAAAAACAAAAACTCCTTCAAGAGGGCAAATGCTTGCGACATCCTGGAGAAGACATGCAACTAAACTTTTTAAACTTCATCTTGTAGCTTGTCTTTATTTAAAAAGTTGTTCTTTCTCAAGGAATCTTCGCGGTCTCGAGGCATGGTGTCCGCCTCGAGTGCTATAGGTTCCGGGTTCATTCCCCGGTAAGAGCTCGGATTTTTTTACGTGGACTTGGACTTCTAGTAATTCCCCCCGGTCTCTGGGTAGTGAGATCGGACGCCAGTGTGTATTGTTGCGCATGTTAAAAAAAATCTCTTGGCCGTTGGAAATTTTTAAGAGTAGCCTAACGGCTCTGTCCGGGTACAATTTGGAGTTGAAAATCTACCCAAAGTATTTCAGGATCCTCGCCGGTGCTACAGAGCCTGTGCACTGTGCTCAGCTTCTTCGGGGACTCAGACTTGAGTTCAAAGAAGAATGAAGCACTTGTGGGTTACTACCCGTGTGCCATATTGTTGATCCGTCGTTCAAACCTCAAACCTCTTTCTGTAGGGAGATATTGGACTGTTTGCTGTAGTATTAGTGACAGAGCCCACCATAATCCTGCGCCCCAGACCAGTGTACAACCGATTACGCTGCCACACGTGTACGGCATTCAGAATTGGTGTATTGGTCATCACAAAAAATTAGTGCTAAAACAATCAGGATTTTGAGGTAGCACAAACCCACGCCACGTACATATCACATATAATTAGCTCTAAGCAGAAATTCTTCGTCTTGTAAATGTCTTCAAAACATTTGATAAAGTCCTCAGTATCTTATCAGCAGTAAAAGTAAGACAAATATAAAACCATGGACAGGCTTTCGGACCATTGTGGAAAGGACAAAGACCTCTTGCGTCAGACAGGTGTGTACAGTTGGTCTATATCGAAGTACATATGATTTATACTGCCAGGCGCTGTTTGTCATTTCCAGAACCTCAATTTGACTCTTTGAATTGCTGAACAATAAACAAACAATTCATTCATTCATTCAGTAGCATGTCCCTCGCGGAACCTCGCTGCCATAACAACCCTCCGGAAAACCTTCCTATCCTGAGCAAGATGTCCTGCGTCTGATACACCCATCTGGAGATCATCTGCCACATCCTGCACCCAAAATCTCCTTGGCCTTCCTCTTCCTCTCTTCCCAGGCATATACCCCTCCATTATTGTTCTCTCTAGACTTCCATGACGTTTCAAGTTACCAAAATATTTCAATTTTCTTTGTTTTATTGTCTTTACTAGCCAACCCTCTTCAATATTCAGCTCTTGAAGTATGGATGCATTTGTTCTTTTCTTTACCCAAGATATTCTTAGAACCTGTCTGTAACATTTATATTCAAATGCATTTATGCGCTGTTCCGCTTGTTTAGTAAGTGTCCAGGTCTCATAGGCGTATGTTGCAATGGGAAAGATGCATGCTCTTAAAAATCTGACCTTTGTAATTCTATCTGTACAATTCCATAATTTATTCAGTTGTTTTAGTAAACAAACAATTAGAAAGTCAAATTAAGGCTTCGGAGATGTAAATGCGGAAGATTTAGTCGTATATCATGGAAACTAGAACAGATACTTAAGCTCTGGAGAAAATGAATTAAAAGATTAATTTATATAAAAAGAAAAAGAGGCAAGTGGAATATTTCGGTCAAATTAAAAGACATAACCCACTTATAAAAACATACTACAGAGAAGGTTTAAAGTGAGCCGAAAAAGAGTAGACAGCGATACAAATAGAATTGAGGTCGCTGGGAAGTGGCAAGATGGCATCAAGAGATTGACTGACGAATAACTGACTCATGAGAGTGTGCAGCCAAGGCGAGAGACAAAGTGTTTAGGATCCATCAAAAGCAACCTTCATTGTGAAGACGACGCCTGGTTGATTGTTGTTTGGCGGTGCAAGTTCCAACCCCCTGGTGATCTGTAACATTTATATATTCTAATGAGTCATGTGTTTCTTTATCTATATATACTACCTCTATTTTCTTTACCTCATTGTTACTTTTTGTTTCCTAACATGTCCTCAGTTCCTGTGTCTGTGTATACCACGTATATTTTCTATATATCTATTTCCTTTCCGTACTGCTATGAACGAGAGCCGCCGTGGTGTAGCGGCTAGATGCTCGCCCGCGGGTCGAAAGATCGTGGGGTCAAATCCTGTCGGAGCCGGATTTTTTTCAGAAATGACCTTGGCTCTCAGGTCAACCTAGTCTTTAAATGGATACCAGGTAAAGCCCCGAGAAGTAAAGGCGGCAGGCGTGATGCTGATCACACATCACCCACCAAGGGCTGATTGGTCTAAATTAAAGGTCTAGCCCTATATGCCAAGTTTGCCCGAAGGCGTTGAAAAGGGTCCTTTAATCTATTGCTATGAATGTTACATCATTATCTGCGGATTGACCATTCGTGTGACATAATGTGTGGGATGTACGAAGGGCATCGGCTGGTGTGTGTTATCTCCGGGGCAAGTGTCAGAACTGATATAGAGCTCACATATGACTCATTGAACATACTCAGCTCACATCTGGTAGTGCTCTCTTGGCGCAGTATCCCTAGGGTAACTGTCATTTACGCTGAACGTTCTCACATGCGGTCTGTGTTGTGTTTGTGCATTGTTTCTGTGTTTGTTATTCGACCTATACTTGGATAACACAAATGTCTGTAACCTGTGATGCCATTGAATTGGTTTGAGATGAATTATGTCTGTATTCGATAGTTTTCTTCTTCTTCTTTTTCTTAGGCTAAGTAGTAGTGGCTATTTATTTAACACTAGCCACCCCCCCCCACCTCCCCCATATAATAATACTGTCCAGGGTAACCCCTAGGAATTCCCTATGAAATCTCGAAGCCGACAAGATGTGGTCGTATTCAATTGAAGTACCGATTTTACTTTTAAATCACTTATGTGGGTGAAAAAAATCCTTTATTAAATTAACCCACCTTCCAATGCAGCCACTTTTTACTATACTCACATAATCGCCGTGAGCGTTCCTGGGTTCTGTTTAGTAGTCGTTGAAGGCGACTAATTAGGGGTGCTACCTTCAAAGTCGGAGTGCTTCGGCTTGTGAAGCAATTAACCAACAATCTGCACGAAGTCACATTTGTATTACAGATGCGCACGCAAACTGAAGTTAGGGATCCACGGGTGGGCGAACAACCGTAACCTTCCTCTAGAGTATACAACCAGTGAACGCGAAGAAGAAGAAGAAAAAGACACCCACATGAAACTATAGCCAAACGATGATGTAACATAACCAGAAGAAAGCGCTTCGCATTATTAAGTTCTTATTTTCCGCAGCGATTATATTGTCAGTCATTTTAATGGCAATAGACTGGAAATAAAATCCACACACAAGCTCTCACCAACCGCTACAAAACCGCTCAAAACTTAAGAGCGCGTATGATCACGTGATAAACTTATGAGGCCGTTATTGGCTGCGGTTGACGTGGGAGCTTTTATCGTAAATCAGGAAAAAGGGGGCCACCATCGCCACACAGGCTTGTACAGTACGGCCTGGTACGGAGTGTGTGTGTAAACCGAGTGGAATAACGACTGTACTCACTGCTGTGGCGAAGAAACAGAACAGTTTCTACGGGATTTGTTTATTTGTGCCGATCCGTTGAAGTGGATTATTTAGTTTAATGCTAGAAGCCATGTTTCGCACCTTGCTTGACCTCAAACAATTGCAGGTTTGTACCAGTGTAGATTTATTCTGTGGTAGTAATTAGTACTTTATGTTTGCCTTCTAGTTATGAAACATAATTACAGTGGAGGTTGCTATATTATTCTTACTTTTCATTTCTCGCGAAGTCAGTATTTTGCGCAACAGGAATTAAGGGTTGAGAAAGTGGATTTGTGATGCCTGATTCCACAAGAGTAAATAGAAATCGGAATAAGAGTTTCATTGTCTATAAGAAGTGAACAGAATCTGTCCAGAGATGACTACCACTTACTTGACCAACATGGACATAACATCATTCTACGCCTCAGGACAGACCATAGTATACTTAACAAGCATGTGCACAGGCTTCGTCTCAGTAGTTCATCATTGTGCCCAAGTGGGCTGTGTACAAACTGCAGAACGTGTCCTGCAAGTTTGTCACTTGGACAACCCATCAAGAAGGGGATACTGGTCCACTGAGTCAACACCAAACTCAGTTATATGGATCTGTCCGTTTTATCACAATAACTGGAATGTTGGTGTAAATCAGTTATCACTAGAGAAGTGTTTCCTTGCTCTGTGTTTCTCCCAGATCTCTTTTTGTACTTAGTCTACGCTCATTTTCCCCACTTTACTTTAAGTACAATTAATTGTCAGGCATTCTTTAACAGAATAATAAAATCGTTTGTCAGTTTTCTTTTTCTTTGTTTAAATTTTAGCATTGACTACCTGCTTTAAGGACACATTTAGGTTCTTTTTTGCTGTCATCACATTGCTCGAGATTTCGGGAAATCCCACAGTATTGGGGGTGGGGGGGGGTGGGGGTGGTATTGTTAGTAGTAGTCTCTTTTCATTTAACACTAGCCCCAACGCTAACCCCACCCCTCCCTCCCTCCCGCTACTAAATGATTTCCCAATATCTTGCCTGATGTGGTGACTTAGCAGAACAGAACCCAAATGTATCATGTAGCTCATGTTTTACTGGGGCCCATAAATTGATGTAGTTAATAGTAAGCTACCATGAATGGCTTAAAAGGATGGTTGGCTTGAATTGACTGTCTGCCTATTTTTAGAGGGACAACCCCCATCTGCAAAATCCATACATACAAATGGCTAGAGCCTGTCTGTTGAGTACCTGTATTTTATAGGGTAAATAAAACTGCTCACCTTGAAATGGGCCGCTGGCAGTTGTAATATGACCAACGGGTGGATTTTCTCTACGTAAAGGTCGTTTTCATGAACACAACTCCCCATGTCGGTTCCGGTTGCCTATTGCGTAGAAAAACTAGAATACCCCCCCCCACCCCCAAGCATGTCGTAAAAGTCGACTAATTGAGGAGCTTCCTTAAAAGTCGGAGTGACGAGCAATCTGCATACAGTATGATTTGTAAAACTGGCTAAACCCCGTGCATATTTTAAAGGCGGAACAGTTTTTTTTTTCTTTTTAAACTAGTCTTATTCTTGGCGTTCACCAGCGTAAACTCCTCCGGCGGAAAATTCTGATTGTTCATCCATCCACTCTTGGACTTTCATCCTGACCGAGATATGCGTTCTGCCATATACATATGTTTTACACCCCTGTGTGGGTTCCGGGGCCCCATTGTGGGGAAAACAAGAATAGACCCACTGCCTCCCCAAAAGCATGTTGTAAGAGTCAACTAATTGGGGAGCTTCCTTTGAAGACGGAGTGCGTCTGCCGGAGAGGCAAGGAACCAACAGTCTGTATTCAAGAGAATGAGATCTGTAAAACTGATGCACACGCAACACTCAGGTTCTGGAGCAGGACTGCAGTTCTGTAGTAGACGAGCAACCAGAACCTTCCGCCAGAGTTTACAGCTGGTGAACGCGAAGAAGAAGAAGAAGAAGATATGTTTTACAGATCTGGGCTTGATATATTTGCATACGGTTGGTTCCTCACATTTTGCGTCTCGGACAGACGCACTTTGACTTTAAAGGAAATACTCCTAATAGGTCGCTTTCTACGACATGCTTGCTCTTAAAAAAAATGTAACTCCAGAACCTGTATGGAGAGAAATAATTTGTAGTATAACCAAATATTTTATGGAACATTTTTACATGGTTAAAAGGAGCCTTTTATACCCACAATGTTTGCCTTTACAATGTGTAACACAAGGCGAGGTATAGATATCTCAGTTGTTTTCTGCGCGTCGGCAAAATCGGGATTACTATGACATCTTGGCTGTCACACTGGTATGATAGATCATACAACTAGCATACTATCTGAGCTGTGAAACTGCTCAAATTACACCAGCAACAAGGCTGTCTCCATTTGTGGCCCAGCAGACGCCCACTGTGAGGTCGCATGCATTTTATAGAGCAGCTGTCACCAAAGGAGGTGAAGTGGGGGAATTCCCAGCCAGCTTTGGCCATCAGTACCCCGTATTGCCCCAGACAGTAATTTACTGCCTGGTTGGCAGTTACTTTAATCCACTGAGTTGTAAGACTCTCTCTCTTTCTCTCTCACTTGGCTGGGACCTCCTATTATTGTGTATTTAAAAAGAAGGAAAAGGGGGGGGGGGGGGGGGGGGGGGGGGGGGTCCTAAAAGGCCTCTTTAACCATATAGAAATTTTCTTTAAAAGTATTTGTTTAGACATTACATATTATTCCAAGTATATTGTATTAATGTGCCATTCAGCATATTAGTGTTATTATATATTACATTACATATAGGAAAGGCCTTATACTTTGTTAATCTCTAGTAATAGGGTGAATGTAATCTATCGCCATGAACTCACTGAAAGCAGACTACTACGTTTTCTGTTCAGAACTTATATTTCTCTATTTAACCTATGTTATTTTGCTCACAAATTTCAATTGTCCTTTTCTTTATGGTTTTGACATGATCTAATCTTCTTCTTCTTCTTCACTGGCTGTGAACTCCGGCAGAAAGTTCTGGTTCGTCCACTTCTGAACTTTGGTGGTCTTGTTCCAGAACTTTAGTTTTACGTGCAGATCATTATGCAGACTTTTGTTCCTCCCCTCTCAGGCTGATGCACCACGACTTTGAAGGAAACACCATAATTAGTGGCTTTTTGCAATATGCTTGTTGGGTTTAGTGGGTCTGTTCTTTTATCCCCCAAAATACAACTGACAATCCCTCAATATCTGGTTTCATAAGTGTCTATTTCCCTCAATGTCTGGTTTCATAAGTGTCTATTTCCCTCAATATCTGGTTTCATAAGTGTCTATTTCCCTCAATATCTGGTTTCATAAGTGTCTATTTCCCTCAATATCTGGTTTCATAAGTGTCTATTTCCCTCAATATCTGGTTTCATAAGTGTCTATTTCCCTTTTCAATATCTGGTTTCATAAGTGTCTATTTCCCTCAATATCTGGTTTCATAAGTGTCTCTATTTCCCTCAATATCTGGTTTCATATAGTGTTCTATTTCCCTCAATATCTGGTTTTCATAAGTGTCTATTTCCCTCAATATCTGGTTTTCATAAGTGTCTATTTCCCTCAATATCTGGTTTCATAAGTGTCTATTCCCTCAATATCTGGTTTCATAAGTGTCTATTTCCCTCAATATCTGGTTTCATTTTTTATAAGTGGTCTATTTCCCTCAATATCTGGTTTCATAAGTGTCTATTTCCCTCAATATCTGGTTTCATAAGTGTCTATTTCCCTCAATATCTGGTTTCATAAGTGTCTATTTCCCTCAATATCTGGTTTCATAAGTGTCTATTTCCCTCAATATCTGGTTTCATAAGTGTCTATTTCCCTCAATATCTGGTTCCTTCAATGTCTGGTTCCCTCAATGTCTGGTTCCCTCAATGTCTGGTTTATTTGTGCACAAAAATGAACATTCTTCTAAATAATCACCTGTGATTCCTGTTTCTTTGCCAGGTCTTTACTCATTGTTGAACACAGTGAGAGGGGTAACAAAAAGGAATGGGAGTCACTGTTACACATTAGCTGGTTGCTTGTAAGGTGTCGTGTTGAAATCCACATTTTCAGTCAAAAGTATCTTCAAATTACCAGATTTGACCCAGTTTGAAATAGGTGCCAGGAAATTACATGTGAAGTAAAGGCAACGTCTCTGATGTTGACAATCAAAGGTTGAAAACAAAAATGGGACCTTGGCTCCCAGCTTGGAGTGGGTAACATTTAGAGTACTAGGAAGTAATAACGGCAGTCGTGATGCTGACAGCATCACCCACTCACTTACTGCCAATTGGTCTATAAAATATAGGTCTAGCCCTGTATGCCCAATATGCCTGAAGGTGTGGGAAAGGGTCTTTTACTTACTATCACCATATTCCCAGTTTGCAGATAGCATGAAAATGGCCAGAAAAAAAGTGTATAATTACATGTATCAGGAAACTTGCAAACAGATTGACTAATTTTTGCATGTTATGGATCTGTTTCAGGAGGACTCACCATGGGGTTTGTAACAGTGTGGCAGAGCCTACTGTTTCTGGAGGTCTTCACTATTTGTGTAGCAAACAGTAAGTTAACTCAATGATAGAAATGTATATTCTATCTTCACCAAACTAGGAAAAGATTAGGGGGAATTTTTCTCAGTTTTATCCCTTAATAATAACTGATATATCTGGGGGTTTTAAACCCCCCCCCCCCCCCCCCCCCCCGATATATCAGTTATTATCAAGGGATAAAACTGAGAACAATTCTGAACACCAGCATCTAAACAGAGAAGTAATGTAAAGAATTATAATTGAAATGGTTTATTTCTTAATGACATCTGATTGCTGTCACCCATATTTTGAACACTTAAAAATAATCAAATGCAAGTGTCTGTGAAGGGTACCTTTTGCAGCAAAGTATGAAGAAGTAAGATTTTTCGGACAGAAAGGCGCATATATATCACAGCCGTCCTGTGAATAAATATGATGCTATCATGTCCTCAGATCAGTGAAGAGGTTCTCATGTTGTAACAGTAATTTTCTCGTTTGGGTTCCAAGGCACCATTTTGGGGAAGGGGGGGGGGGGGGAGGGGAGGGAATAGACCCACTGCCCTAAAACCCCTCCAAGCATGTCATAAAAATCAGTTAGGGGTGTTTCTTTCTATGTTCGTGCATTTGCTTGAGAGTTTCAGGAACCAGCAGTCTGTACCCAAAGATCTATTAAAAAAATTGTGCAAGCAAAACTCAAGTTCCGGAATAAGACCAAAGGCCAGAAGTGGACAAACAAGAACTGTCCACCCAGTTTACAGCTGGTGAACACTAAGAAGGAAGACTAATTTCTCGTACTTGGACTTTTCAGCAACCAAACCAGCTTCATCCAGCTGTGGCTAGTAATCTGGTCTGGTGGTCAGGTGTGTAAAATGAGTCAGATTATCTGTAAAATCAGCCATACTTGTTTGTGTGTACAGGAACATGGAGAATTAACAGTTAAAAGTACAGTTAAAGTCCAGATGTGTAAATAGAGATGAAGTTGTAGTTGATAAAAAAATAATAATAATCAAATACAGTTTTGGATGGATTGGAAATGAAAATACATTATACAAAGAAATAAAACAGAAAGTCAAACTTAGTGACTGTTTTAAAACACATACCATGAGAACCATACTGAAGGGAAAAGTTGCAAGCTGGAAGTAGAGAGTTACAACTGAGAGGATAATGTCAAGAGGTTTGGCATGAGACAGTCTTCTTTGTTTCTGTAGTCAGACACAGCTGGGGCAAGCTTTGGTGTATGTCAGGGCTATTCAACAAATTTTACTGAGAGGCCAGAATGTTGAAAATGGGGAACATCATGTGCCAGAGCCCCATTGTATTAACTCTTTGAGTCCCAAGGAACGCATCATACGTTCATAGGTCCCACTTAAATGCCCAGTGAACGCAAGATGCGCCGATTTTACATCTCTCTTGACCACCCCTTGGGCCTCTGATGCTAAACCCCCTGGGACTCAAAGAGTTAAGATTATTTATAAATTACAGAGGGCAATAACCCATGGGCCACTTGCTAGGCCTCCGCGGGCCAGATTTGACTTTCTAATAATGCATCTGTCTATTGCTTGCAGTGGAAAAATCTGGCTCTGCTTTCACTGCGTCTACGTAACAAGATCTGGGGATGTACCATCCATATGGTAGACTCGACACATGTCTGAAATATTCGACCTTGTGCCTCTAGATTTAAGTTTAGCGCTGGTTCCATATTCACTTGTACACTTTATTTCTTTTTTTTTTGTTAATGTTCACATTTGTCTCTTTGAGTCTGTTGTTACAAGTTTATTGGTGACATCTGCCCATTAAATGTATTTGTATTATTACATGCATATTCTTTCATTGCTTCACTTGTGGGAGACAACAGTGTGAGCTGGAAATTCATTTGCGGCCAGCCTTCATTTTGGAAATATCTAATTGATTAACACACATATTCTTGTGGATGTGCAAAATGACCATTAATAAATTTATATCTATTTAACAGCCAATGGGCCAGATGTGGCCTGTGGAGGTCTAGCACATGGTCTGCAAATCGTGACCAGTTGTATTAATGATCTTTCTGTGGTGGGGCGCGGGCCTCTGGCCTGTAAGGATCCACATTTTAAAACTTTTGGCCCCTGAGTAAACTAAGTTGAATAGCCCTGCCATATATGGAGGATCTGAGATCTGTCAAGGTTTTAGTTTACCATAAACAAGCCCGCATTGCACCTGACTTTCGCATACTTATACAGTTATGAAACACCACCCTCTCAAAGTTCATGAATATTCATGAAAGAAGGCAACATAATATTTCTTCACTTAAACATTAATTAATTCTGTAAAAGATAACTTCAGCAGCTGCATGCTATGTTCCGAATGCTGTATTTGATACATCGGAAAACAGTTTTCTGAAACATGTGGCGGTATGTGTTTCCAATTTCCAATTCTAATTCATCAGTCGTTAGGACATGGCATTTGTTACATTCACGGCTCACTGAAAAAACAAAACTGTTCCTGTCTTGCCTGCTTCAATTCTCACATTTTTAAAGACACTATTCTTCTCTTGAGGCTGGGGATTTTTTTCTGTGGGGGGGGGGGGGGGGGGGGGGGGCAAAAAAAAATCCTCGCCGGCACAGTAGTGGTGACAGCACTAGCCATGTGGCCTTAAATCCCCTGGACTACTGGTATATTATTTAAACTAAAATAAATTGTTTTAATTATTTGCTTTAAATTCTGTCCACGCTGATCCGGGAATGCAGAGACTGGCCAGCAGGTGCCACAGAGGTGGAAATTCAGCAATTAATTCAAGATAATGCTCGCTTAGAGGATTTGAGCATTTACACAGACGGTTCAGTGTCAAGAGGCAAAAGAAGTGCTTGGGCCTTCTTAGCAAAAGTTAATGGTCGATGTTTGGTAGTCTGGTAGTCTGGTAGTCTTAGTTTCAGCTTTATAGCAAACGGGTCGCCCCATCTTTGCTCCGCTCCTGTGCCAGCGAAAAACACCCAGAATGTTTATTATAGTCCCTTGTGGAAAGATTGACAGACTGCTGTCTCAGCATATCTAGCATACACTCGCATTAACGCATATGGTAGCCATCCGAAGTGCTAACACAAACAGTCCAACATTAGAAATGCAGTTCATCATTGATGATAGCAGAACTTGTCGCCAACAGATCAGCAGTTGCCCTCGCGATCAATTTTAATACGGGCCCCGCCAGCATTTGCACGACCGGCATCGCGCCATTTTCTGAATCTACAATTCACACCACGTTGGTCACAGTCGAAAAAACATTCCAAATGCAATCCGCAGCTCACAGGGTCACACCATGCATTCAACTCAGAAGCTGGGCGACGAAACTTTATCCAGTCTACAAATGGAGCAAAAATACTGCGGCCACCGTCCGGCAGAAGCAAAAAATTTGCCTCCGCTCCGAACAGCGCCGCTGTCTAGCGTCCATTTTAACCGGAATAATCTACGTTTAGTGCAGGAGAGCCTAGCATATGATACCACAACATCCAGCTTAAGAATGGAGGTGGAGGCAGTCACTGCAGCTTTCCGCTGGCTAGAGAATACGACACACACACACATCGTGATTGTAACTGATTCAGAAAGCATGATGAGGAAGATCAAAACAGGTATGCTTTGTGCAGAGTGGCGTGCTTCGCTGCGGAGGACATGTGTGAGGAGTATTGTCTAGATTTTTTCACCGGGGGACGCCGGTGTGTTGGGAAATGAACAGGAGGACAGACTCGCTGGCTCTGCACAACTTAATGGAATACTGATACATGATAAGGTAGACGTTGTTAGTGCCTTGTGGGAGAGCGTGTATAGTTCGGAGGAGCAGATGGATTTCCACAGTCTAGTGAGATTGATGCAGCAGGGAGTGACGCGAGGTTCTGGTAGATGCTCGAGGCTCAGAGGAAAGGCAAGACGGACGTTTAATCAGAATGCTACTGGCACCATTAGTATCGGAACTCTTCGCTGGCTGCTGAAGATGGGGACGGAATGTCCCAAGTGCTGTGATGTCGGTATTTGAATCAAATCAAATCAAATAAAGGTGGAAAGTGATAGAACCACTGCCCTCATAACAAGCTACACACAATTATTCACAGTTTCTTCTTTAAAATGTGTTTTATAAAATCTCTCAGCTGACCATGGGTATAATAAATACATCTTGCATAGTCGCTTTTCTTCTACCTTGGGGTGAAAATGTTTGCCAGAGTGATCGCCAGACTTTTCTGTCAAGAGTTTTCTTTCTGGCTTTGTTCTATTCCAGTCCTTTGTCAGTCAGGGACTGTTGGATGATGTCTTTCCATTGGACCCGGATCGCCCTCAAGGTCTGATTCTCTGGTCCAGCGGTTCTCAAACTTTTTTTTCACTGCAGCACTCTTGTCAGGCCAAATTTGTTTGAAACAAACCTACCCTTAAAGCGCTTTGAATACTTAAGAAAATTTGAAAAAGCAATGTACATTTAATGTAGACTTGATTTTAATGTGATAAATGAAACTATTTTGATAAAATTTTTATTATTTCTTTTATGTATATGGAAGTTTAGTTAATGTTACCCTCAAATCAGTTGACCCAGAAAGTTTGCTCTGTATCTGTTTTTATGTGACCGTGAGTTGAGAATGCATTGCAGCCTTGTCAATAGCATTGTCTTCTGAATACACCTGCATGCAGAACCCTTTTTGGCTTCCCTCACCTTATTTCTGTCTTAAACTGCTGTCCTCACTTATCTCAAACAGATTTTGAACAATTCCGAATTATTTCTGTGGCACCCCTGGCATTCGCTCATGGCACCCCTGGGTGCACGGCAACCAGTTTGGGAATTTCTGTACTGGTTCTTGGCATCCCATGTCTGCTGGGGTGGCATATTTTTTCTCCCATTCTGCACACATGACCAAACCATCGTAGCTGTGACTGATACAGTCACAGGTTTTTAAGGCTTGAGTTTCAAGATCTTGATGTATTGTCTGATTGCAAACTTCGTCCCTTGTCACTTGGACCACCTTTCTCAGATACTGCATTTCTGAGCTCTGAAGCTGGCTTCTGTGTGCTGTTGTCATTGCCCATGAATCAGGTAGGACTGTAAATAGCCATTTTGTTCTCTTGCCTAATTCTGTTTTGCTAAGAAACCCTCAGTTTATGGCTTGGAAAAGTCTTCTCGCAGCTGATTTTAGAAGAGCCAGCTCTGTCCTAATGCCTCCATTTCAGTCTATTACAACTCCAACCTTCTAGTTTTCTCTTTGTGGTAACTTGTAATCTTAGTTTAGAGCTAACAGGTGATTGGCCTGTTGTGCTTTTGCATGGTGGAGGGGCTGCCTCCTTGCGGTCTCCATGCAGACTGTCTGGCTGGTTCACGGTTAACCACTACTTTCGGAGATGCATGAAACACTCAGGTTCAGCCAGACCTTCCTCATTTTACAGCTAGGCTTGGGACAGGCTTAGCAGAGTTAAGTATGAAACACAACATACGGCTATCCTCCGAATAACGGTCCCAAATTATCGAGGACAAAAATATACCCTAACAGGGCCTCATTCACATGTAAATTGCGGACTTCCGGCGACTACCGCCGAGAGTATCTTCCAGCCCGCTATGCGCAGCGTGGAGCGGGGCTAAACTAGATGGCTGGGACTCATGAGCAAATTAAATAAAGGAAGCTGCTGGAGATGCGGTAGCTGCTGCTCGTGAGTCCCAGCCTCTAGTTTAGCCCCTCTCCACGCTGCGCGTAGCGGCATGGGAGACACTCTTGGCGGTGGCGCTAGTGGCCGGAAGTCAAATTACATATGACTGGGGCTCTGTTAGGGTATATTTTCGGCCTCGATAATTAGGGACCTTTATTCAGAGTATAGCCCAACATACTCATTCTTTGGCCTTGTGGACTCAATCATATGACCGCAAGGACAACAGCAATCTAGCCACTACACTTAACACAGTTGCCATGGCTTCCAACAAACTGAGCATCATGTGGCAGTCATCATCTATTGTTCATTTAAAGATCATCTTCATCGCACATTGGACATGACCATAAGAGCTCCAGTCTTATCCTCTGTGTCCCACCATACTCATCACAAGACCTTTAGATACTATAAATAGAAACTCATTTTCTTTAGATGGCCCTATTTATAATCTACCATGGTATATATATATATATATATATATATATATATATATATATATATATATATATATATATATATATATATATATATATATATATATATATATATATATATATATATATATATATATATTCTAGAATTTCCTATTAAATGTAATGAAGCATATAAAAAGTGTGCGTGCTTCTGTTGTGGGTGTGTGGAGGAGAGGGAATAAATGCCAAAAAACTGAATTAAAAATAAAACCCAGTAAATAGTGGTCATGAAGTCTGGGGAAACATTTTCTTTAGGAGAAAGAAGTCTTCATGTTTTGAAACTAAACAAACTTCACACCCTGTACCAGAAGGTAGCTTAGTGCAGTATCAAATTTGAGAACTGAGCATTTTTAATGATCTCCCCTACTTTCTACATTTGGTGGGAAAAAGGGGGGGGGGGGGGGGGGGGGAAATGGCGCATTACTGTTAATCTTCATATCCTTCTTTCTCTCTCCCTCTCTTCACACAAACAATTTGAAATTAGTAGTTGCAGCTCAGGGCTTTGGTAAATGAATGTAAATCTTACTTTTTGCTTGATCCATATGAGCTTTTATATAACAAATATTTATTTAAATCACAGATATATATATATTTTTTTTTTCAGTGTTTGGTTCTGAGATTCATGTATCTCTGTTCATTTATATGCAAAATTATGGAGATAGATTTCCTAGATTTTAAAATTGTATTGTCTTCTTCTTCTTCTTCGCGTTCACCAGCTGTAAACTCTGGCGGAAGGTTCTGGTTGCTCGTCCACTACTGAACTGCAGTCCTGCTCCAGAACCTGAGTGTTGCGTGTGCATCAGTTTTACAGATCTCATTCTCTTGAATACAGACTGTTGGTTCCTTGCCTCTCCGGCAGATGCACTCCGACTTCAAAGGAAGCTCCCCAATTAGTCGACTCTTACGACATGCTTTTGGGGAGGCAGTGGGTCTATTATTGTAAAAGAAGTATTTAATAGATATACAGATGAGGTGCCTTAAAATGTTCACATGTTTTTCAATATGCTTGGAAAAGGAGCAATGAATCTTCCTCCCTTCTCCTAAATGGGACCTTGGAATCCATATAGAGTTTCTTGTCGTCAGTATGCCACCAAGAAATTTGCTGCAAATAACTCTTTCAATGCAGACAAACATTTGTGTGCTGCTGTGATAAATTACACATGCACACTTTTTGCATATTTTACCACTAGAACAGGGCTATTCAACTTAGTTAACTCTGGGGCCAATATTTTGAAAATGGGGATCGTCATGGGCCACAGGTCCAGCATAGAAGGATCGTTAATACAACTGGCAATGATCCTCGGGCCACTTGCTAGGCCTCAACGGGCCACATTAGACCCGTGGGCTGCCAGTTAAATAGCCCTCTACTAGAATACATGTTCTCAGCCAGCCTACACTCTTTTGTGTATTTGTTTATAATTATTCTGTTTTGCAGCTCAGGCTTTGTTTAGTGGGAGAATGCCATGCAAATTCTCTTAGTTGCCTCTTATGACATGCATGGTAGATTATGTTTCTATTCTTCAATTCCCTTATGGGGTCCTTACAACATGACATGGGCAGTAAATCAGTTGTGTTAATCAGTCATATAATTCTTTGCCTTTCATTCATTCTAGGTCCTCCTTCACTCTCAGGGAAAGTGGTGCCTAGGGTGATAGCCAAACTGGGTAAGAATACCAGACTCCTGTGTCCTGCCCAGTCTGATCATGAACTGACACAATGGAAGAAGGATGGACAGTCAATTAACCCTGGCTTGGACAGGTTTAAGGTGAGCTGAATGTTCGTTTTGGAAATATTTTCAAACTGACTTAATGATCATCAGTCATCAGTTCTCTTTATGCCTAGTGGCACATAAGGCTTCAGAGATGACTTTTCATGCCTTCCTGTCCTGTGCAATCTTCAGTGCAGTTTTCCATGTCAGAGATGCAACACTCAGTTCACTTTCCATTGTTTGTCTCCATGTTTTTTTAAAATCTAAAATTGTATTAAATGTCCAGGATATGACTGTTACAGTGATCCCTGTGGAACACAAAACCGAGGTTCAGCAATTTATGGGACCCAGCATCAATGGCTGATACACAAGCTTATAATAGTGAAGTGCTTGAGATTCAAGGATTAGTTGTTCTCATAGACCACCATGACTCATACATCTTAAACGTATATACGAATGTGTATCAACTTCCGAATAAAGGTGCATGGAAATTCCTAGCAGATTTTGCGGAGTATGATGAAAAATGTTTTATAGTCATCTTTAAACTGCAGGTTAGGATTTTAATCTCCTGCAAGAAAAATACTCCACTGCCTTTTTGGGATTCAAACCAAGGTTTCCCATATAAAAGCGATTGTTCTAGCTACTTAGCTAGCCACTCTTATCATGGTATTGAGTCATTGTGTTCCTCAGATTTGAGCCATGATAATATATTGGTTGTTGTTGTTGTTGTTATCGATCCAGCGGCGCATGAGCTTTCGCCCTTTGGCCCAATGCCATGTAGTGGAATTTACATGTTTTCACAAGCTGTTCTTTTCCTCCGTACAAGGTGTTCCACTTGTCTGGTCTCGGAGGGAGTAGCGTTCTTCTTGTCTCACTGAGTTTTGGGCACTCAAAGAGATGGTGTTCAACAGTTTCGTAGGGGTAGTTACATAGCTGGCACTCTGGGGAGTGTTGTGGCTGTATTCTGTTTAGGTGTCCATTGAGTGGAGTATGTTGCGTTCTAAGTCTGAAGATGGTGGCCTGGTCCCTTCTTGTTAGATGGTTAATGCTGTCATTAGGATCAGGGCCAGACATATGTCTATAAATCTCTCTTCCAGTGTCTCCAATGGCCCATCTGTTCAACCAAGTCTCTTTGTTTATAGCTCTTATCAGTGTTTTTGCTGTCTGGAGGGTTGTCGCTGTAGGTGGTTGTTCTTGTGTTGCTCCTTTCTTTGCCAATCTGTCAGCTCTGTCATTACCTGGTGTGCCGGAGTGACCTGGAATCCACTGCATCACTATTCTGATGTTGTATGAGGTAATAAGCTGATCGGCATCCAGGATTATCTTGGCTATGTCAGTTCTGCAGCGTTCATTGCCCTCCAGAGCTTGAAGGGCAGACATTGAATCTGTGAAGATGACAATATTTTGGACCTTTGAGGGGTAAACATCCATTACAGTCTTTAGGTGGTATACTGCTGTTTCCAGTGCAATTATTTCAGCTTCATAGTTTGAACAGAATTCCCCGCATGCATCAAAAATCTCTTCAACAGATCCATCGGGATAACCTATGTAGATTCCGTAACCTGCTTTAATGGTAGTAATATATTGGTTAGAGAAGGCCAGCATACAAGGCATTAGAGAATACCAGGCATTATAGGTATTAGAGGCATACAATTAGAATACCCTATTCAAATAAAGAGAGTAATGAAGGTGTCTTGAAAGAGCTTAACTCAAGAAGAGAATTGATTGTCCACATCAAAACAAAACAATCTACATTATTTGGTCATGTCATGAGAAGAAGAAAATTAAGTACATAATGACAGTAAGAAAGTTGGAGGGGAAAAGAGGGAGAGACAGAGAGAGAAGATGCTGGAGAGTTTGACATCATGGGATGGAGGATGGTCTGTGTCAGAGTACATAAGAAAGAAGGTTGTAGATAGACATGACTGCCATTGCCGCATGGCATGGACTCAAAGATGAAGAAGAAGCATATAAATAAATGGTGTCGGGGAGTCAGCAATGAATCATTCCAGCAGATTGTGTTGGAAGATTACTCTACAAATGGCTTGCAACGCTATAGGTCCCTTTGTCAGCTGTCTGGTCATAATTCTTAAATAAATGTCTTATCTCTTCAACACATTTTCAACCTCAGACTGTATGTAGCATTGACCTTATCCATGTCTTCTTCTTCCTCACCTTTACTGGCTGTGAACTCCGGCAGAAGGTTCTGGTTGTTCACCCACTTCTAGACTCTAGTCGTGTTCCAGAAACTGAGGATTTGCAGTAATTGTAATTGTATGCTTTTGTTTAAACTCCAAAGATATCCCGTGAAGGGCACCTGAGAATTCAGGACACTGAGATGAGTGATGCTGGGCTGTACACATGTATTGCAACAAATGGCTTTGGGAGTATCAATATTAATTACACAGTAATTGTATTAGGTATGTAGTTTTATGCATTAGTGTGTGCTTTTTAACAAAAAAAAATCTTATTTTCTGTGCAAATTTTATGTCGCTGCTGCTCACCATTTAGGAGGGGTTATTGTAATGGACAGACATGTGGATTCAGTTTTATAGTATACTACATTTTTTATTTTATATTTCTGGGTTACCCCAACTTTTCACATTCTCTTAACCCTAAGGGGCAACTTTGTCTCTTCTCATCTGGGCTCTGTCCCAGATCTGTCTGTGACAGACCCTAGTTGTAGACACTGTTCTGTCAGCACCACCCTAAAGTCATAAAAAAGCACAGATCCTTCTACCTGTACCACATATTTTAGTCCCAGGCAATTTAAGTATAACAGCTGATCTTAATGTCTGTCAAGCAACACATGATCAGATTCATACCATAAAACCCTGAATGGGTTCCGGGGCCCTATTATAGGGAAAACAAGAATAGACCTACTGCCTACCCAAAAGCATGTTGTAAGAGTCGACTAATTGGGAGCTTCCTTCGAAGTCAGAGTGCATCTGCCTGAGAGGCAAGGAACCAAATGTCAGTACACACATATGCCAGATCTGTCAAACGGATGCACACGCAACACTCGGATTCTGGAACAGGACTGCAGTCTAGAAGTGGACAAACAACCAGAACTTGCCACCAGAGTTTACAGCTGGTGAATGCAAAGAAAGAAGATACTATAGAGGTAGGTCAGTGTAATTGAATATGCAAAATGGTTAGCATTTTTATTAATCAGGGTGTGATGCAAAATTATCTTCTTTTAACCATGACATCTGAAATTAGAGAATAGTCCAATCAACTCAGGACTTCTTCATGATTGGCTGGATCATTCTTTGTTCCATCATTAGCGTTATCTGACTGTAAACTCCAGGGAGAAAAATTATGGTTGTTCATCCACTTCTAGACTTTATTCTTGTTCCAAAACTTGAGTTTTGCCTGCACATCCAGTTTACAAATCTGGCTTATTTGTATGCGTTTGTCGGTCCCTTGCCTCTCAGGCAGTTGCACTTTGACTTTGGGGGGAAAAACCCATCCCTAATTAGTTGCCTTTTAGCTTGTTAGAGAGCATTAGGTCTATCTACCTCCCCACCCATACCAGAATAGTATTTTGAGAACCCAATCGTAGAGGCTGGATTTTTAAGCTACAACTTTCTCTGTGCTAAGGTCATTTGATTTTAAATCGGCCACCTTTAGTTGCCTCTTATGACATGTATGGTAGGTTTCCTGATACTGTCTGTTCCCTTCAAGAGCCACAGTAACATATGGGTGTTTTACATCGTACAAAACAAAATGAGGAACAAACCAGATGTGCAGGCCCATCAATGGTAATGAGATATTGATTGCATTGCTCTGTCATTGTTATTAAAAGGACAAAATGGAAATGAGTTGTTTGTGGTTGTATTGCTATGAAATAGACCTTGATGTAATGATGTCTTGTTTGCACTACAAAACCATATGTGACTGTCTGGGTTTTGAAACACCCATTAATAACACTAATGTTCAGGTAAATGCAAGCTGGCATGTGTTAGTTACTGTCAGGCTAAATAAAATTATAGTTCCCTGCCAGAAGTTCGCAGTATATCCTAAGTGTCAAATAATTAGCACCAATTAGAGCAATCAGCAAATGTGTCAAAGAAGGCATTCTTTAATATGCAGCAACACAGGATGTCTGTCAAGAAAATTGTGAAAATAGTCAAAGCTGAAATTAATTGGACTCCATTTTTATTTATTTACCTGTCAACTAAATGTGTGTTTTTGTGAATAAATAATTTCTCATTTGCTGTTACTAATTCCCCGTGAGTGTTTTGATGCCCCCTTGGGGGGGGGGGGGGGGGGGGGGGGGGGGGGGCGCACTGCCCTCTAAAGAGCGTCTCATAAGAGAAGACCGGCTAGGAGTTTTCCTTCCAAGTCTGAGTGCAATTGACTGAGAGGCGAATAACCAACACTAACAATAACCAACAAATAGGCCATATGTGAAAAATGAATGTGCAGACAAACCTCAAGTTCTGGAACAAGACCAAAGTCTAGAAGTGGACATTTTACAGCCCCTGAACTCTACGAAGAAAGAAGCTGCTGTTACTAATTGTTGTGGCGAAGACTATAGTTTCGTATGTGCACATTATCACAGATTTTCCTATATAATAGAGTCATGAACCAACAGCACAGCACTAGCAACATTCCCATACTTGTAACGTTTTGTTGTTGTTGGTGTATGAAGAATATATTAAATATATATTCTTTTGTGAGGAAAGATGGAACTTGAATAGCGCAGAGCAGGGCTGTTGAGCTAAGTTTACTTAGGGGCCACCATTTTGAAAAGGGGGATCATCACAGGCCAGAAGCCTGAGCCCCAGTATATAAATATCATTGAGACTTGAGGTCCAGAAGTGGATGAGAAACCAAAATTTTCTGCAGGAGTTTACAGCTGGTGACTCTAGTGGTAGTAAAAGAAGAAGTGAAATATGCCAGGCAGTAGATTTTGCAATATATTGTTTTTTGCTTCAGTATTGAAATTTAATCTTTTTCACATTCAGTCGGCTCTGTGGCTAAGTCGATGCGTACGCTTCGTAATGCTCAAAGACTCAATAAAATATCCAGTTTCGTCCTTTTTAGGACAAAATTTTTTTGTCATTTGAAGCCCTACTCTGGCTTTTGCCAGGGGCCGCAATATAGGCAGGCCATACATATGGCCAAATGTCTGAACGCGGCTTCTGGGACCTCTCCACGTCGATCCTCATCCGCATGGTGGCATTTTGTGTCATCGGGTGTTTATCGCTTGTGTGATATCCTGGTGGGGTAGAAAGTCAGTCAGTCGTAATGCTGGGATGCTGGGATCGATGCCTGCTGCGGGCCATGCGACTTGCGTTGGTTTCAGCAGTGGTATCAAGAAAGTCGACCGTCCAGAAAGCAATGGCAAACTACTGGACGTAAATTTGCCTAGAAAAACTACAACAGCCTAAAAATGCTGGGGTTGGTTCTGCGATGTCCTGTAAAGGATACACAACTAACCTTCTTCACGTTCGCTACCTGTAAACTTGCTGAACACCATGCAGTTGACACATATTCCTAGTGTGGTTGTATGCTCTGCTTGCATACTTATTTTCCCAGTGGCTCCCCATGTGGTTCCACTTAGTGGCCTCAGTCTATTCTTGCTTTCTCCCACAACGGTGTCCTGGAACCCACACGAGGAATTTAGATTTATGTGATGCAGCCACACAAAAATTGTCATCTATGCCTGTACCAGGTAATGAATGTTTGTAATTTAACGTTAACTTTATGGGTCCTTTACTACAAACATAAATTTATTGGTGGTAAAAATGACGGCTATCTATAAATGTTACATTGCTTGTTTATGCTAGAATTTAATGATATATCGTTATAAGCTGTTATTAAGGTTAATTTTGTATTTATCTTTATAATTGTAAATATATTTTCTGTTAGATGAAGAAAATCAACTATTCCAAGAAGCAGGGAAGCAGTTTAAACAGTTGCCAAATGAAGATCTTAACAAAGAGGGGTGTAAGTATTTATTAATTGTAGGTTTTAAAACTAATTCATCACCTGTTTAAAATGCAGTCTGGCATGTTGGTGTATCTGCATTTTGTGTGCCTACATGGAATACATCTATTGCTGCATGTGGGTTATATTTTCTAGAACTGTGCTTTGAAAGCTGGTACAAAAGAGGACAACTAAGTTATAATGAATGGAATACTTGGAATTATGCCCCACTAACCTGAAGGTCGCATGAGAAAAGTTAAAACACTGCTGAATTTGGCCGCTTATGAAATAGCAATAGACTTTTGTTTTAAAAACTCACGCAAAATGTCATAAAGCTATTGATTTAATTCATTCGGTGTGAATATGAATGTCTCTTACTTTACATCTCATGGCTTTTCTTTTGACATATTTCGTGCCCTTCTGTGTTTTCAGAAAATACTGCCCATATACAGAAGTTACATACACAATAAGTTGTACAGACATATGAGGTGTGAATGTTTTATAACAACAATAATGTTTTATCTAATAATTGTTTTTGGAATCAATTTTTGTGTGAGTTTTAAACTAACAACTTTTCTCATTTTCATTAGCTGTGCCATATTTCGAGGAGTTGGAAAAGATGAGGGAGTCAGTGAACTTGGTCAAACCCACAGGCTCCACAATTCGACTGAGTTGTCAGGCATCTGGAAACCCAGCACCAGAAGTTTACTGGTTGAAAAATTCTGTGCCTTATGCTCAAAAGCGGCCTCACTCAACTCTCAGATTACATGAGATTAGAGAGGACGACAGTGGTGACTACACCTGCATCGCTAGCAACAGACTTGGAGAAGTAAACTTTACTTACCACATCCAGGTCATAGGTGAGTAAATAATGGCTGACAATGCATTGGCCTGACATTAGCAGCTTGAACAAAATATGGAACTCTAAATTGTAGTTTTAAAACCAAGTTACCTATTTTCAATTCTAATGTTGTTTCAGTTTTAACATATGCAAGTGAAAGACATGGAATGAAAAATGCATTCAAAAACATATGTCTGGAGAAGATGTTGAAAATAAAATAGGATGAATTCAAAAGGAGTGAAGAAATAAGAGAAATGTCTGGGCAACCATTAATATCGACAGATATAAGACAGAGAAGATAGTGCTACTTTGGACACATTCTGAGAAGAAGGCAGCAGAGAATCATGAAACAGACATTAAAATGGAGATAAAGGGATTAGGGAAGTGAGGGCGCCCAGAAGAAACCTTGGAATGAACATTGATGTGAGAGGCCAAAGCAGCTGGACTAGATTCCATCCATGATATCAGACTGATTGCACAGGATAGAACAGAATGGAGGGATGGTGTGAGCCCTAAGTGACACACAATAGCACATCAGGATAATGAATGAACGAACGTTGTGGTGATGTGTTTGATAATTAATTTGTTCTATGGAGATCTATGGTTGATGGTTTTCTGCCCTCCTATGCATAGCATGACTGAATGAAAGGGTGTTGCAAATGTGCGTGACTCGTAGAAAACTTCCTTTAATTGGTGTAAGACAGGAGAAACAAGGACCGTTTCTGCTGGTACATAACGGTATGCTGCATCTGGGCATCATTTTTCAGTGCTATATTCATTGTAGACATTTTGTAGTGAGTACCGGCACCTCATTTTCTAGAAGAAAAGTCCTGGGAGAACCAATACGGCCTCGATGATGGTAATCCATTATCACCTGTGGCTTAGGGGTTATGAACTCAGTCTCATCATTCCAACATCCTGGGTGTTTCATCTGCATAGTTTGATGGCACATACAGACTGACAGATTCTGCACAACTTGGTGATGAAGTGCTGCATGACAAGCTAAATGTTTTAAAGGCCCTTTGGGAGCGAGCGACCAGTGTGGAAGCACAGATGGATCCTCTTGACAAGAATGGTATTGGGGATCTGGTGGACGATCAGCACTCAAGGGAAAGGTGGGATAGATATACAATCTGACTGCTGTTGGTACCACTGGAATTAAAACTGTGCTTGCTGCTAAAGATGGGGACGAAGCGTTTATGGAAATGTCCAAAGTGCGGTGGTGTCGATTCTTAATTAAATATTATAGTTTGGTGGTAGACCAGTTTGTGCTAATTTTGACACCTGTATGATTATTAACTGTTGAAGGCAGTGGCAAACTACTAATTGTAAAAGTGACCATTAAAACCACAAATAGCCTACAAAATTTGGGATTGGTTTGTGATATGCAAAAGAGATGCTAAAAATTTTGAAATAGTATCCAGTAACTTGTGGTAATTTGTGTATTATTCACTTGAAATAGATGTATGACAGATATTTCCTAGAAAGACTTGTTTGCCTTGACACTTGATTAAATTTTACCACTTTGTAAATTCTTGGATTTGGGTCAGCTTATCTTTTAAAAAAAAAAAATAGATGTCAGGAAAGTAAATATGGCCTTAATGGTATAGATAATGTCACTAATTGAAAAATATTTGTTTTCTAAAACTAGGATGGCTGTTACCCCATGCCCAATGTACCTAAATGAGAACAAGCTTTTTTTATTTTCCTTGAATTTGTCAGGCACTTCAGCAGCAGATAAATTACATGTCTTACAAAATAATTTTTCAAGTTTTATCGCTAGTTTCCATAATTTGATTTATGTCACAGGTAAGGAAACTAAATCAATATTTTATCTGTCAAATTTCAGATGAAATACGTCACAAACCAAGACTGATAGCACCGCACCCACTAAACCAGACAGTGGATGTTGGAGCTACAGTGTCATTTCATTGCTTTATTGAAAGTGTTGTCAAACCACAAGTACAGGTAAACACTGATTTTCTCTTTGGTTTCTCTGACCGTATTTTACCAAGAAATAATGAATGTTTCAAATTATTACTATGTATATCCTATAGACTTCAGGTACTCTTTGCTGTTTTCTCTACCAAATATAACTTTTATAAGGTTGAGCTGAGCTTCTGGGATTTTTTTCTTCTGTTGAACTGGCATCTTTTCTTCTTTGCTCACCAACTGAAATTTGTGTGTGTGTGTGTGTGTGTGTGGTCTATCTCTGGACTTAATCATGCTCTAGAATTTGAGTTTAGTATGCACATCTATTTGACAGATCTGGCTTATTTGTAAGCAGACTGTTGGTTCCTTGCCTCTAAGGCAGCTGCACTCCATCTTTGAAGGAAACACCCTTAATTAATCCACTTATATGACATGCTTGTTTTGGGGAAAAAAGGTGGGGGGGGGGGGGGCGCAGCACTGAGTCTGTTCTTTTTGCCCCCTACATCTGAAATGAGAGAATAGTCCAATCAACTCATGACTTCATCATGATTGGCTGGATCATTCTTTGTTCCATCCTTAGCGTTATCTGGCTGTAAACTCCAGGGAAAAAAATTTATGGTTGTTCATCCACTTCTGGACTTTGGTCTTGTTCCAAAACATGAGTTTTGCCTGCACATCCATTTTTCATATCTGGCTTATTTGTATGCATTTGTCAGTCCCTCCCCTCTCAGGCAGTTACACTCTGACTTTGAAAAATTCAATGATAAACTGGCATCATTTCACTCACTTTAAGTCAAACTTTCAGGCTGCAGTTTTAGAAGAAGAATTTTTTTTTTTATGTGTCCGCTGCTTTTCTACTTATTAAACTTATAGTACTCCCTGTGTTGATTCTGTGGCCTCTTTGTGGGGAGAAGAGAATATAGACACTGCCCCCAAAAAGCATGTCATAAAAGGTGACTAATTAAAAGTTTTCTTCGAAGTGCATCTGACTGAGTGGCAATAAACCAACAGTCTGCATATAAACAAGCCAAATGTATCAAACAGATGTGCACGCAGTGCTTACGTTCTGAAACAAGACCCAATTCCAGAAGTGGATGAACAGCCAGAACTGTAAGTTTACAGTCAGTGAATTCAAAGAGGTAGAAGCCCTTAATAAAGATCATAGTTCGCTGCTTTCATTGTTTTAAAACGCATATGCACAAATGATTGCTAACTAAGTTAGAGCCAACCATCTGAAATAAATATTAAATCAAGTAAATATTAGGAAATTATAAACTCAGGGCTAACTGGCAAACACAGCATGCAAGAATAATATTCTTATAATTATGAGGTGACAGTAATTTGCGAAGACACAGTAACATCTTTGATGCACATAATTCCCATGACTCCATCATTGTCTGTGGCACAATTCGGTTTTTCCAGTGATTATGACTTTGGTTGATTATGCATTTTTTAATGGCAAATACTTAGTTTTCAGAATGCTCTGTTAAATGTGAAGAAGTAAATTGTCTCTCCCCCCCCCCCCCCCCCCCCCCCAAACACCACCACCACCACCACAACTCCTTTCCCATGTTTTAGCCTAGAATATGCACTTCATCCCAGCAGCATTACCAGATATGGGGAATCATTCTGTTGTGACATTGTCATGGGGGAGGGGGGAGAGGGGGGTGTTCAGTCCAGCACCTTTGGTTTCTTTTATCAGTGTCCATTTTAGGGTCTTCCTTGGATATCGTTCACTTCCTCACCGCATTTGTTTCCCATTTCAGTTCAAATTGGGGTGTTACGAAATGCTCACTCACTTCTCAGTATGTGCCCATTATAGCACTTTTTTCCCTTTCTTCCTTTTTAAAAAAAATTTACCTTTCTTTTTAATCGTATAAATGTTGATACAGGTGGTTGTCCAGACAATTCTCTTTTGTTATTTGTTTTTGAATTTATCCCATTTTATTCAACAGTTTCCTCAGACATTGGTTTTTAAATACATTTAACTTTACGGAGACTTGTCTTTACTAATTTTTAACAAGGTTACTAGTTTTTTTGTGTACATTTTTTGTAACACACAGAATGTCTTGTATTTTCTGCAGTGGTTAAAACGAGTTGACAAACCTGAAGACATTCCAAGCCCAAACATAACATTAGTTGAATACAGAGATGAGAAGTTCATGGTACTGAAAAATGCAGGCATCTTATTACCTCGTCCGGATGGGACTTACCTCAGCAAACTTGTCATACAGACAGTTCAGCCAAGGGATTCTGGGATGTTTGTCTGTTTCGCTACAAATAGAAAAGGTTTCACCACCAGACATGCTTTCTTAGAAACACGGCAAGGTAATTGATGATACTTCTAACATGTAAACATAATTTTTGAAAAACTGTTTTTTTCTTTTTCTTTTTTGGTTGATGGCATAGACTGTTTACCATCTGGTGTAAAGCACCTCTCATGTCTATCCTTTTACTCACCTCTAACTGTAATCCTTATATTTCTTTTATTTTGTGGATTCCTGTATGGCAGCCTAGCTGTGCTATCCAGAAGTAGAAATTTATGATGATTATATTTTTGTGGTAAATATTACTGAGATCCTGTTGCTGTGGATGCTCATGTGACAGGAAACATCAGTTGAAATCCAGAGAGACCCATAAAGATGCCAGTTATAAATGATTTGGACATACAAGAGACGGCTTTGCAGATATAGACAATTTATTTCATGCGAACGAAAGAAGAAGAAGAAGATTTGGACAGAATTGCACTATAACCTTTTTTGTATTGTCTGCATTCCAAGAAAATTGTTTTTCATATAGGTGTATATGTGTGCACATGCAAACACACACAGCTTTCTTTAGAAAGAGGTATACACAGGCAGTGCATGCATTTCTCTCTCTCTCTCTCTCTCTCTCTCTCTCTCTCTCTCTCTATCTATCTCTATCTCTCTCTCACTCTCTCTCTCTCTCTCTCTCTCTCTCTCTCTCTCTCTCTCTCTCTCTCTCTCTCTCTCTCTCACTCCACCCACTCCAGACTCGACTCCACTCGCTCCAGACTTGACTCACTCACTGACTCGACTCCACTGACTCAACTCACTCACTCACTCACTCACTCACTCACTCACTCACTCACTCACTCACTCACTCACTCACTCACTCACTCACTCACTCACTCACTCACTCACTCACTCACTCTCTCTCTCTCTCTCTCTCTCTCTCTCACTCTCTCTCTCTCTCACTCTCTCTCCCTCTCCCTCTCTATCTCACTCTCTCTCTCTCACTCACTCAATCACCCACGCATACACAGCCACTACCACTGATGACTCCACAGACATCTATAATAAGATTGCCTTTATTTAAGAAATTATTACTTTTAAATCAAGTACATTAACATAGAATTAAGAAAGGACATGTTAGACACATACCTTTAATAAATTAGCTAATAAATACTTCTTAATGAGTTGTAGGCATTCATATACTATATAATACACAATCATTATGGTTTATATATTGTAATTCACAGGTAGCCATCATGGTGCAACTAAAGTAGGCGATGGTTCATCGTCCTTTAACACTAAATCCAGTGACTCTGAAGATTCATCTGACAGTGAACTCAATTTGCCACTTTGGATCGGCATTCCTTCGTGCATTTTTCTGGTGATCGTCCTTTTAGTAGTATTTATCATGCAGCGAAATAATTCTTGTCAGCGATCAACTACGGCAAACAAAGTGCCACGACCGCCAGTGCCTGCTCAAGAAAGAGACGCATATTATTACAGTAATTACCAACAGCAGCATACTATAAATCCTTTACTGGCAACACGAGAAAAGTTGCCAAAGACGCCAACACCGTCTGTTGATATGACAAGCTCCGAGTTTTCTTCTGTATCAAGAACACATCCGAACCCTTATTTTTATCATCCAAATCACGTGATCTGTGGGCAGTGATGAAGGAGAGATGTGAAATCATTCAAAAAATTTCAGCTAAGTGCAGAACCCAAGAAATTATTTCCTAAATCTTGTGAACCATTCCAAGGTTTAAAGTCGACAGTCAACTTTATTGCACTGGGTTGTTCAGACTGATATTCGGTTACATGGTACTTTTATGTGCTCAACGCAGTGGGCAGTTTTCCAAGGAATGATTGCGTGAAAACAGATTGGAATCATCCTTACCCACATAAAACTGCAGGTTACACCAGGTCGGTGTAGGCATTATGGGTAACCCAGTTTGTTTTCTTGTGAGATTGAACAGAGTATCTGGAATTGCCCTGTTGTTCTGCCAGTGGAGATTTTATAAACTTCAGGAGAAGAAGAACTACAGCACATGTGCAAAACTTACAGGCTGTACTTCTTTTTGGGGAGATTGCTCCTGTTGTGTGTGATCATTTTCATGTACTCATTTACCAAGTACGAGACTAAGAACATTAATTCAGTATTACACAGCAGATGGGCTTTTCCTATTGTAATATAATACTTCCATAACACCTTAATAGGTGTATCTTAAGACTCATGTTAATGATACAATCAATGGTGATCTGGTCATGTGAGATACTATAGTTATAAATTATCAATGTACATAATACTTACCAGCATGGGAGTGCAGGTTGAACCAGGTCGATGTAGCCATTACAGGCGCCCCAAGTAAGGCTTCTGTAGAAGTTGATTGGGTTGTCTGGACTTTGGCTTGTAGGCTTTTCATTCAAACTGAGATTTTATAATCTCAAGAGTGGTCAGACCTTGACATAGCAACCAAGCGAGGAAAAAAGAAACCAGTGCAAAATCATGGTAGACGTGCCTTTATCACTTTCATATCACATTGGCTGTTACACATCTTTCATGTCTAAGTAAAACAAGTAGGGACAAATCAGCTACAAAGACCCTAGTTTACTTAAAATGTTGGTTTGGAAAGGTTTATTTTTCCCTAAAGCTTAGCTTTAAAAAATGTATTGGCGGATAAAAAAAAAAAAAACTAGGGATCACTTTCTCAGCCTTTTCTGCAGATTTCTTTGTTTTTGTCAACTTGTGTTTTGATTTTCATACTGAAATGTGTGCATGTAAGATCATAATTTCAAATAAAAATATACAACTTACTAAATATAGATAAATGTATTTAAACAAAAATCTTTTAGTAATCTCTGCAAAATCTTCTTTCGTGTAAAGTACATTTAGTGTCTCTTGATATTTCTGCAGTCGATCTCCTGTGTGGTCGACCTCTGGCTCTGTTACTGTTGTATCTGTATAACATTGCTCTCTGTGGTGCCCTGTCTGATGCTAATCTTGTTACCTGGCCAAAACATTTAATTTGTTGTCTAACTATAGAGTTTAGTATTGGTTTTATGCCGACTCTCTTCCTGGGATCATCGTTCGTAAGTCAATGTTTCCTTGTTACACCTAGTATAGTGTGTAAACATTTATGTCAAGACAAAAGGGAGATTTAAGCACAGGATTATAAGGCAAATGAGCTAGTAGTTTGCACCACAGCTCACATGTAAACTAGTGGTGGTAAGAATATGTTGAGAAGACTTTATATGCTTCAGTAATGCAGGCAACTAATATATAACTAAACAGTTTCACGCTACACATAAAGTGTCTGTTCTGATGACAAACATTCTCAAGTGTCTACAGCAAATTACTGTGTCACATTCCCCATATTCAGTGCAATTGAGAAGTAGAACTAGTCAACTTCATAAAATCATGAACAACAGAATGAATGTTGCTGCTAGAAAGCTTTCATGAGCAAACTACCCAAACTGATACAGTTACAAACAAAAATACATAAATTCACATATTTTACAGTGTCCTCTGACACTATATCCTCATAACATGCTTGAGCAGTAAAAACGTTTTTAGTTGTAGTATAAAGGTTGCTGGACAGGAAGTTGTTTTTGTTAAGTTGACTAATTCCACTTTTTGTAGTCGTTCTGATATTTTCATATTTTTTTATCGCCTCACTGCACTTCACGCATTTCACTCCTCATATTCTTCAGTATGCCACTGTTCACGTGTCCTTCCAGAGAGGTTATATAAACCACAGCAGCAATAATTAATTTCAACATGCCACGATGTTTAATAAATATGCTTGAATTCTTAATGTGCTAGCTCAGGGCTTTCGATGTGAGATCAGAAAATAAATAATTTATGTTTGAAAGTTTCATTGTGGAATGATTATTTTGTGAATATTATGCTTTATTTGTAAAGTTGTTTTTTCTGTCCAACTTTATTTTGGCTTCAAAGAGGTAAATAAGCATCAGGGTGATTTAACAAACAGTAACAGTTACAGACACTACAGGGTGTTTTAAACACAGAATATTGGTGCCTTGAAGGTGTAGAGGTCAGCTGTAGCTTTTTTGCACCAAGGACATGACAGCTGGCTAAATTTAGGATACTTGATCTCCTTTTCCCCTGTTTGGGTTCTGGGGCTCCATGGGGGGAAGGGGGTCGATGAATAGACCAACTTACCCCACCAGACGTGTAACTAGAGGTCTGCTGAAATCGAAGGTCTTGGGTTAACAAGTCCAGATATTGCAACATTGTTGTCAACCACAACATAATGTGCAAACTGCTATTTTAAGAGCAAATACAAATAAAAAGACCATCTTCTGTATTCATTAACCTTATATGAAATTGTTGGCTATTTTTTGTGTCTTGTAACCTTTTGGTAAACATATCCAGCTTCTGTTCTGCATGTATTGACCAGGTAATCCATTTCAGGTTGCTATGCAGGACATTAAATTTTCTTGCTCCTTCAAAGTCCGAATACATCTGTCCCAGAGTCAAGGAACAACATACAGCACAGAAATAAGAAAGTAAAAAGATGTACAAGTAAAACTTAGGTCCTGGTAGAAAGCCAAAATTAAAATAGACAAACAACCAGGACTTTCCGCCAGCATTCACAGCTAGTGACCGCAAACAAATAAAATTACTATGGTGTTATCGGTGCTCAGTTTCCACTCATCATGGCTGCATCAAAATTTTTGAAGTCTGCCTTGATTCTCCTCGACCCTAAATCGAGGTCAGGGACAACTAACTCCTGGGCATATTTTGCCATTCAAAATGGCTTCCATAAATGCAGGCTGAAACTATTCTGGGCTCACTAAAAGAACTAATTCAACCTGTACATGGCGAGTCCCTCATATTTATTAGGCACTCTAATATGTGTTGTGCTTTTGGAGATCAGTAAAGTGCACTCCTGCCCATATAATACTAGGGCATGCATATAACTGATGATTTATGGATATTGTCTCGCCCTATAAAAAAGTTATTGCTCCAAAGCTAAGCCAACTATGAAAAAGTTTTAAAAAGAATGTAAGTTTGGGAGATAAAAGGCAAAAGGAGGAACAAGGGGTAAATCTATAGAAAGACTCATTGATAATTTGATAACATCACCATACAGGATTGAGCTTATTTTAAAGCAGTGTCTTTCATCCATTTACTTATCATTAGGGGCAAGTCAGCCATTTTTGAGTTTACAGTTACCAAAACTATATACACATTTTTCTTCTTAGCTTTCATCAGCTGTAAAATCCAACTCAAAGTTCTGGTTGTTTGTCCACTATTGTCTTGCTCAAGCACATGCATGCCTGTTTTATTGATCTGGCTCATTTGTATTCAAACTGTTGGTTCCTTGCTTCTGAGTTGTTCATTCTGTTTAATTGAAAGTGAAGGGAAATTATTGATACCCTTGTGGTCACAATCAGAATTCAGAATACTTGAAGAGAATTAGATATATTTTGATATGTGGAAATGTTGTGTAAGGGAGCCGCCATGGTGTAGCGCTAGACACTTGCCTGCAGATCATAAGGTCATGGGTTCAAATCAGAAAGCAGCTTGACTTTTTTCAGGTATGACCTTGGCTCCCAGGTCGACCCAGCCTTAAATGGATACCAGGAAAAAGTGCTACAAGGTAAAGGCACTCAGCATGATGCTGACCACATCACTTGTGTGTGCCAATTGGTCTATAACAATAGGTCTAGCACTGTATGCCTCCAGGTGTAGAAAAGGGTCTTTTAAATGTTGTGTAATACTAATTCTGGGTGTTTTGTATTGTACCAGGCAAAAGGTGACTGAATAAATGCACATATTGGTATCGGTGGCTTTAATTTCTTGTATGAAAGTGAGGAGATGTTTTCAAGGTCATATTTAGAAATACAAATTTTAAATTGTCATATACTGTTCAGAAGGCCATCACTGTTAATTTTACATAGAGTATTCTGTGCTACCTGTTGCGACATCTGGACATGGAGATGGAGAAAGGCGGTGAGAGGTGATACTCTAAAGCCTTATTAACTAGTATTGGCTACTAAGTGTTAAAAGAAAATTAGTAGCCATGGAAATAAGATGTCTGAATAGCACTGAAGGAGAACGGCTAGCTGTCTGCCTAGAGCCTTGCACAAACCTGCTAGCTCTGGTGGTGATCCCCAGGTTTCTTCTTATCAGCCATGACCTTCAGATCGCAAGGCAGATGGCTTGATCACTATGCCATGGAGACCCCATTGGATTTTATGTGCCAGTGATACATAAGAAAAGTTTAATTGTTGGCTTATACAATCAAGAATCAGTATAATTTTAATTACTGCCAGAGTTTGAAATAAGATATGCATATCATCAAACTATGTTGTGAAAGAAAGTTACATAACTCACTAACATCAGAACTATTTTCAAAAATGTGACTATAACAATGTATTATTTTATACTTTAAAACCAGAACTGTGCCTAGAATGTCAGATGTAGTTTGTCACATTTCCTGTTAGCTATTTTTCAACTGCTTGAAGATTATTAACACTACCACTGTTGATATGACTGTTAGTTTCAGCATGAGGGTATTTGTCTACAAAAAGTTGTTGAGGTAATGAAGGTTTGTATGTATGAACAGTGTATATATGTTTCATAATATTTTACCTTTCAAAAAATGTAATGGTGTAAATTCATATGTAAATAGTTGAGCTTGG